ATGGTTCTTGCTGAATTATAATTTGGTTGGAAATACAGGTCTAAACCTTCTCTATGTAAAGAAGTCCTTAGCACCAGTGGCCCAAAAACTACCACCCAAATTGCTTAGAAAAATGACTGTCACCCACAGTCTAACCATATCCATGGATTTTTGTTGTTTTAAACAGTTAGTAATGCAATTTTTGAGGCTCATGCTTAAAGTTTGTGGATTCTAAACTACTATTCCAGAGTGCAAAGACTCAGTTTGGTATTGACCTTATTTTGCAGAATTTACTTAGACACGTTTATTCAGTAATGTCACTTCTCTTTTTCTACGTATTTCTAATATCTCCTGGTCAACAGACTAAGAAAGCAAAATCAGGATTCAAGCACTGAAACATTCAATGACTCTGCATAAAAACCTAACAAATGCAGACTTTCCCAACCAGTTAACCAGGACACCTAACTGTTATTGATCTCCTTGGGACTCCAGTCAGGCACAAGCTCTTGGCAGCTGGGCTTGAGTCCTGAGCAGAGAAGTGAACTCTTCCATGACTTTGAAAAGGTTGAGAAGCACAGAAATGAAGTATTAGGCATATGACACCTAAAGATTTTTTTGTCTGCTGGGATACGAAATCAATACTTAGAAATCTGTCACATTTCTATACACAGATAATGAAGTAGCAGAAAGAGAAATCAAGAAAACAATCCCAATTATAACTGCACTAAAATGAATAAAACACCTAAGTATACACTTAACCAAGGAAGTGAAAGACCTGGACTCGGAAAACTATAAAATGCTGATGAAAGAAACTGAAGATGACACAAAAAAATGGAAGATATTCCATGCTCACGGATTGGGAGAAAAAATGTTGTTAAATAGTCAATACTATCCAAAGCAATCTACAGATTTAATGTAATCTGTATCAAAATACCAACAACATTTTTCACAGAACTAGAACAAATAATCCTGGAATTCGTATGGAGCCACAAAAGACCCTGAAATAGCAAAGTAATCTTGAAAAAGAAGAAGAAAACTGGAGGTATCAGAATCCTGGATTTCAAGATAGACTACAAACTGAAGTAATCAAAATAGTATGGTATTGTTACAAAAATAAGACACACAGGGACGCCTGGGTGGCTCAGCAGCTGGGCGTCTGCCTTCAGCTCGGGGCATGATCCCAGGATCCGGGATCAAATCCCAATCAGGCTTCTTGCATGGAGCCTGCTTCTCCCTCTGCCTAGGTCTCTACCTCTTTCTGTGTCTCTCAATAATAAATAAATAAATAAATAAATAAATAAATAAATAAATAAATAAATAAATAAAATCTGGGAAAACTAGACAGTCACATGCAGAAGAATGAAACTGGACCACTAGCTTACACCATAAACAAAAATAAACTCAAAATGGATAAAAGGCTTAAATGTGAAACCTGAAACCATAAAAATCCTAGAAGAGAAAACAGGCAGTGATTTCTCTGACATTGACTATAGCAACCTTTTTTCTAGATAGGTCTCTTAAGGCAAAGGGAACAATAGCAAAAATAAACTATTGGGATTACAGTAAAAGTAAATTAAAAGATTTGGGGGAGCCTGACTGGCTCAGCCAGTACCACATGAGACTCCTGATCTCAGGGGCATCAAGCCCATGTTGGGCACAGAGCTTACAAAAACAAACAAACAAACAAACAAACAACCTTCTGCAGGGGAAACAAAAAGACAACCTATGTGGAGGGAGAAGATATTTGCAAATGACATATCCGATAACGGATTAGTATCCAAAAAGAAAGAGAAGGGTTAGTATCTAAAATGTATTAAAAAAACGTAAATAACTTAACACCAAAAACCCCCCAAACAATCCAATTTAAACAATTCAGAAGACATGAACAGACATTTCACCAAAGACATGCAGATGGCCAACAGACACATGAAGAGATGCTCAACATCACTAATCATCAGGGGAATGCAAATCAAAACCACAATGAGGTATCACCTCACACCTGTCAGAAAGGCTAAAATTAAAAACACAAGAAACAAGTATTGGTGAGGATGTGGAGAAAAAGAAGCCCTCTTGCCCTACTGGTGGGAATGCAAACTGGTGCAGCCACTATGGAATACAGTATGCAAGTTCCTCAAAAAATTAAAATTAGCATTACCATATGATTCAGAAATTCCCTTACTGGGTATTTACCCAAAGAAAACAAAAAAACTAATTTGAAAAGATATATGCATGCCTATGTAATTGCAGCATTATTTATAAGAGCCAAAATATGGAAGCAGCCCAAGGGTCCATCAGTAGATGAAGGGATAAAGAAGATATGGTATGTACGTACACTGGAATATTACTTAGCTATAAAAAGAATAAAACCTTGCCATTTGCAACAACATAGATAGATCTAGAGGTTTAATGCTAAACATAAGTCAGTCAGATAAAGACACCACCATATGATTTTAGTCATATGTGGAATTTAAGAAACAAAACAAATGAACAAAGGAAAAGGGAACAAAAACCTCTTAACATAGAGAACAAACTGGTGGTTATCAAAGATGTGAGTGGGGATATTAAGTGAGACAGGTGATGGGGATTAAGAGAACACTTATCTTAATGACACTGAATAATGTATAGAATTGTGCAATCAGTATATTATAAACCTGAAACTAATAGAACATTCTACATTAATTATACTGGAATTATTATTTCAAAAAATAAAAATAATTTTCGCCTTCTTTCTGTTTTTATGAGGTCTAAGTACCAGAATTACTTTTAGGAGTTTAACAAAATCTTTTGAAAATTAGCTTTTTCCCAATTTTAATTCAATCTTAACATCTCGCTCTGACAGTTACTTTGAAAAAAAAATTACAATACTCCCTTAGTTTAAAAATTGCTTTATAAAAATCATAACCTGTTTGGCTGTTTTTGGAACTAACTCCTCAATGATTCTGTTTTTGGAAACAATTCTGCTCTCAAGTTTCAGGCACTGTTAGATCAAATGAACGCATTTTCACGTGGCTTCAATGTGTAGCAAGATAAATGACAGAAATGCCTCCATATGAGATCTAAGTTATGCAAAAATATAAACTAGTATTAGAGCATAAGGAAGATAAAAGAATTCAACCTTTTGAAAGGCTTCATCATTCATGCATTTGCTTGTTCATTCAATAAAATATTGTGAAATAAGGCAAAAACCCACAGAGAATATAAAGATGGTTTCTCCAATGATCTAATAAAAGAATCATTAATTTTGATGACTATGGAAATATGTCTAAGTTCCAGAAGGAGCTTTAAATTTGGCTCTCATCCCAAAAGTAAAATGTTAAAGGAAAATGAAACAGCTTTCTCAAGTAAGTGAAGACAGGGGGGAAGGTTTAAAGGTTTGGGAGGTAAGAGAGTAGTATTTCATCTGTATTTCAAGATTATCCCATTTGATTTAATAGTGATTTCACTCATATAGCAGTTGGACTGCCATACGACAGAAATATCAGTCTCTTAAAGTCTATTGCTATAAATAAAGGGAAATAAAGAGGTCTCAAATGCATAATTCTTTGTGGCTTGAGGTGCCAGCAAAACAAAATCCTCTCTTAAAAAATGTGTGAGCAATCTTTCCATTTTTTTTACTGACCTTTTGACAACTGAACAATTTCATAACTCACCAGAATTTTTCAGTTTTCAAAAAGAAATACCACATTTTGTCCTATAAATTTTCTTAAAATTTTATGCTGAAGTAGATTTTGAAGGTTACCCACTGTTTGCATTAGGCTCAAAGTGTTAATGTATGAGCTGTGACTTTAAGAAACCCTCAGGAAAAAAAAAAGAAAAAAGAAAAAGAAACCCTCTCAGTTCAGACTCCCAGAATTGGGCAATGCCTTTCTGCTTTCAACGTTCCACAAATATTTAATTAGTGTACTTTTGGCTGTTATTCTAATTTAGATGAGGATGAACCTTTCCTTGTAATTTCGCATTTGTGAATGGATACAGGAGCATTATAAATAGCAAGATTTCTGGAACACAAAGTATTTCTCCCTTTAGTGCCAAACAATCGTTCAGAATACATTTTATTTAAGAAACACAGAAAGGGCTTTAATAATCCCAAAACCAAAAGTTATAAAGCTAAGCGCTTAGCACTCTCTTAGAGAAGCTTAGTATTTCATAAAGAAAAAAAAAAAAAAAGAAACCCACTGTTCTAGCCAATTCACCGGTGTCAAGGACTAAGACCATCAAAGTGTGTACCAACATTTTATAGGTCTCATTTCACTAGTTAATGTATAAATATAGACTTTTAACTAGGGGATGAAAACAGTAATCAGTGTGTAAGCAATCACTGTTCCTCCTCAACCATCAGACAGGGCTCTGCCTACGTTCAAGGACATTGTGAGGGTGCTCACCAAAGTTTCTGTCTGGGGAGGCAGTACCTAAAGGAAATCATCTTTATCTGCTATTTTGTTATAACATGATACTAATTTCTATATCTTGTTTACACACTTACTCTCTGTGTAATTATATAAAGAAAGCCTGAATTGGGGTGCCAAGGCTTTCACTCCCACATAAATATCAGGTCTCAATCAACCTGACACATCACCTCCTCTGAGAAGCTGTCCCTGATTCATTCAATCATGAAACAACCGCTGCCCTCTCGGAGTTGTCAGAACAATTTATTCATGCCATTTTTATAGTATCTATCCCTTTCTGCTTTCTATTGTGCATGTGTCTTAAGTGTGTAGTAAGTCATAAAGAGTTACCAGCATCTTACGTATCTTTGCTTCTTAGAGCAAACTATACAACTCAATGAATGCTCATCAAGTAAATATAGTATAACTGATATTTGCTTTGCAATAACATAAAACTGTTCCGTTATTAAAGCATACTTTTGGTGGCTGAACAGAAAAATTAGCAATCAAAACACTCATCAAAAACCCACAAGTAGAGTCTCCAAGTATTTGAGTAAAATCTATACCATATGGAACTGGAGGCAGGACTAGATCATTCTTCAAAAATGGATGCAGACTATAATGATCTGTACTTACTTGTCTCCAAAAAACTTTCTCCAGAATTCAGCAGCATCTGCTTTCGTGATACGAAAGTTATCTCCCTGGAACTGCCCATTGGGAAAGATTGCTTTGATTTCTGCCAGCATGTGACTGAAGATAAGGGACAGTTTTGTGAGATTTCGTCTGTAGACACAAGGGGGGGGGATGAAAAATAAATAAATATATGTGCAATTTTTAATGGGAATATATACTATGAAAAATAAAATTATGTACAGTATTAACATAGGTCTTGGTGGCTGATCATGAACCTCAACTTAATAATGCATCTAAAAACAATGTTCACACCAACTATACATGTAAATTCCTAAGAGGCTTTCAACTTTATTATTCACCCATGTGTTCATTTAACATAAACGTGAACAAGATAAAGTACATGATTTCAATGAGCTCACAGTTTAATGGGAAGATGCACTCCTGAAAAAATCATAATCAAATATAAACACTAAACACAAAAGGCAGAGTACTTCTACATGGGGATGTATAAGGAAAGATTTGTCATTAGAGGAAAATGGCAGAAGTTTAAGTAGTTTGACAGATGAAAGACTTGGAGGAAGAGGGAATGAGCGGAAGATACTGGAGCGTAGAAACAGCTTCTATACAAAAGCACAGAGGGATGGAAGAGAACAATTTGTGTCATATCCAGGTTTAGCCCAGCTGGAGAAGAGCAGAAGGTGATCGAAGGAAACAGCATGACACGAGATGAGAAACTTTGGTGGGGACAGGATATAAAGAGGCACCTGAAACAATGAACAAACTTCATCAAATAAGCTTTCTACTCCCATTAAGAAATGAGAGTTTCTGGTGATGAGTTACAGATATGTGCATAATTCAGAAGCTCCTTGAGCAATTCTAATGCACTCCCCTTGTCAAGAGCTACTGCTAGAAGGAACGGGGAGCCCAAATGGATTTACAAAATGGAGCACGTGATTGAATCTGTTTTAGAAAGAAAGATTTACGGTGCTAAGAAACAAATGGTTTGGAATGGAGGGAAAGCCAGGTGTTGTCTCCATTCTAATTACCATGGTTAAGTTCCAGAAATTCTGACAGGGTTTGAAACGCGATTCAAAACATGACTCGTACTTCAAAACACTACTACCACAGGCACTCCCCTCCTGCCATTTCCTAAGAAGTTTACAACTTTATGTTAATGAGTCCAAAACTGCTAGTGCTAAACAGCAAAGAAGCAACTGAAACACAAAGCACTGAAGAACTTTTCAGTTTTGAACTGACCTTCCTTCTTTACATTCCTGTTTACTCAGAATCACCAGAACTCAACAGGGACATATAGAACATCATTCTATTTTGAAGCGTCAGCTGCTTTTGTGGGTGTGTTGAGGGGTCAGGATGTGAGGATGGGAGGAGGAAGCAATTGCTTTTGGACTAAAGTAAATACAGGGGATGATTAGTAGAGAAAGCCATCAAATCTGCAATGCATTTCAAACCTCATAGTGTTTCAATAGGCCTAGACACTGAGAGATGTGGTTCTCCACCTCCTATTCTTCATTCACATATCTGTGTTAAAAGACCCTCAGATAATAAGCAGAAACATGTTAGGTACCTAGGAGATCATATAATATGCACCTGTCAAAAAGTCAATGAGTAGCACTCTTTCTAAAACATTTAGAAAAGAAGCCAATAACTTCTCATTGTAAGGTGAATACAGGATAAATGAGGGTACTCAAGAAAAAAAGTGGGAAAAGTAGGACGAAAGGAAAGTAAGAGTATAATCTACACCACAACGAATTCGTCTGTATTGGAAAACCAAAACTGTCCCAATTTCCATAATGCTTATAACCTACGAGAAGATTTATGAGAAAGAATAGTCAGGATTTTAGGCCATATTTTAATCCTTGACTGGCAACAATAAACAATCTGCAAAATCATTCTGGTTACACATAATGTGCCATTATTTTCTAAGATCCAGCCACACACTTCCACACAATTCAGCCTAATCCAAATGTGAAAATTCTTTAGTTGAATCTTTGATCTTCTCACTTATGTCAGCACATCCTCATTTCGAGGATGGTAGATACAAGAAATTCAGTTGTAGGAAATGAGAACTGAACTATTGAACTACATCAAAGGGAAGAACTGTGGCCAGTATAAACTGCAACTGACTTCTGAAATCTGAGTTTAAGGAAGGGCAGAAAGTCCTTTTAGAAAATCTGCAACAAATTTATTTATATAATTAAGCAAAAGGGTTAACTGTCCACCAAACTTCCAATTGATACAGGAGAAAAAAGAAAAATCAAGATGGCTATAATTAGAGTAAACCAACTGTTTCTTATGTCTAAGTTGGTTGCTCTCCATCCTCTTATGTCTTTGTTCTTTAATCATAATCATATCCAAATGTTTTTCATTTTTATCTGTTAGATCTAAAGTCTGGAGAACAATGTCAGTGATTATCCATCTCAGCTATAGGATCCACTGGCTACAAGACACTATACCTCAAAGCAGAAATAGTAACATTTTATCTTTATAATTTGTAGTCTAGAAGCTCTAGTAATCACTACTACCTATTTAATTTCTTTTTAGTTATAAATTGTGTGAGAGGTGCCTGACTTCGGCTCAGGTCATGATCCCTAGGTCTTCAGGTCAAGCTTGGTATCAGGTTCCCTGCCCAAACAGATCACCACATTTCTTACTTGTACACTTTATAAAAGACTAAAGTTTCTTTAATCTTTAAAGAAACTCAAATTTAAGTTGTTAAAAATATGTGAATGCAACAGTTTTGTTTACCTTAATTTTCAAATAGACCAGAATATAGATTTATTTTATGTCTAATTATACACGCAAACGAACGCCTTGGAAATTCATTATTTAAAAGACCGATGTTTTTAAAGGTTGAAGTCCACAAGATATGAAAAGACAGGACACCTAATTGTACTAGCCAATGTCATTTAAATTATTGTCACAGTATATGGTGTTTGTCTTTTATATAGTTGTGGGGTTTGGTTTGCCATTATTTTGCCATATATTATTGTGCTTTAATCCCCCTTTTCACTTCTTTCTAAAATAACTTCCAATTTTGAAAACAAAATCCAAGAATATAGTCACCTCTAATCAACTAGACACAGAAGAAAGGCAACAACTATACATCTTTTTGGATGAAATGTTTTATCCTACTATGAAATTTTTCCATACTTGGCCAATTTTTCCCTAAGCCCACTGCTGCTCACCATACCACCAAAAAGATGACTACTTAATAGAGGATTTGATAATTACTAATTAAGAATACATTTCTATCATTAAAACTCTCCTACTCCAAACAACTGAAGTAAAAAACTTTGTCCACACTCAACAATATTGTACACATAACTTTTATTAATTTTACAAAGAATCTGCAACACTTTCACATATAAGAGATACTTTATTTTACTAATTGCTACCATGTCTATTCCCCCCAAAAAAACTATTTTTAAAAATTTTGTGAAGTTTTGTCTCTCCCTCTTTCTATGAATAAATAAATAAAACCTTAAAAAAAAGGGGGGGGGGATCCCGGGATGGCTCAGCAGTTTAGCGTCTGCCTTCAGTCCAGGGCATGATCGTGGAGACCCAGGATCGAGTCCCACATCGGGCTCCCTGCATGGGGCCTGCTTCTCCCTCTGCCTGTGTCTCTGCCTCTTTCTGTGTCTCTTATGAATAAATAAAATCTTTTAAAAATATTTTGTGAAGTTTTGTATAAAATTTTGTTATTTAAGAAATAATCCTCAGAATAGAAGTATCTTAAAGTATCAGGTAATCAAAAAGTAACTTCTAGATGGCAATATTGGGTAAACCAGTAAAGAAATAAATAGTACAGAAAACTTGAAGAAGAGGAAGGGAAAGGGGGGGAGGAGGAAAGCTAGCTGCATTATTTAAAAAACCATAAAATGCATCAGCTGTATCAAGAATATTGCCTATGATGAGGCACCTATGTGGCTCAGTTGGTCAAGCATCTGACTCTTGATTTTGGCTCACTTCATAATCTCAGGGGCAAGAGATTGAGCCCCATGTCGGGCTCTGTGCTGGGCATGGAGCCTGCTTAAGATTCTCTCTCTGCCCCTCCCCACCCCTGCCTCACTTTCATGGTCTTAAAGAAAAAGAAGAAAAGAAAAGAAAAGAAAAGAAAAGAAAAGAAAAGAAAAGAAAAGAAAAGAAAAGAAAAGAAAGAAAGAAAAGAAAAGAAAAGAAAAGAAAAGAATATTGCCTACAAAGCAAGGAAGCAAGGTACCTCTTTTTACCCTGGATTCAGCTATTATTGTATTTCTTTAAAATGGTATGAATCAATTTATCCAAAAGTCAAGTTACATTACTGCACAGAATGTGAGGTTGAACCAGAATGAATTAGCATGACTTCCAGAAATGATGGAGTTTCACTCCTTATGATAAGTTTCAGCAGCTTAAGGTGGCTACTGCCAAAATCATCAGAGACTGGGGGTGCACACTGCTGGGGATGACACAATCCTACCCTTAATAAACTAGCACATCGCTTGGGAGAAAAAGACATGAATAGATTATCGGGGGGGGGCAACACACCAATTATAGCCATCATGGGATGATGAATTAAACTTGAAAAATGAATTAAAAATATATTAGGATTTGATTAGTAGCCACCACGAAATGTGGGAGACACATAAAGAATGTAATCTAATCATGATTGCATGTAGTCCTTGCATTTTCTCCATTCAAGAAACAGCTGTGTCATAAATCAAGGAAGAAATAAAAAGTTTTAAATGCTGAATTAGTGGAAAACTTCAAATGACACTCTGTATCAGTAAGGTCCAAAGTTTGTGAGAATGTACTACCTTTGGTAGAAGAAACAGGAGACCATTTTTTATCCAAAAACTATTAATAATTCAATTCTCACATTTAAAAGGTAGAACATGCTCTTCTTAATCTTTACAAGGTGAAACAAATTCAACATAAAAAGGCAGGACATAAAGAATATAAACAGTGGCACTTAAAATGAGACTCACGTCCAGTTAAAGAGCAATTTCCATTCACTGTATTTCTGATGTAGTGCCCTCCAAGATAGGTTTAGAGAGTTACTTCACACTGTTTTTGACCTTGGGAACATTTCGAGTCCTAAGAAAGTGAGGAGACTAAGCTGATGTAAGCCTTGCCTTTCATTTCTCCCTCAT